GGGGTGCTGTCACTGGGTCCAGCATGGGGCTCACCCAGTATCCAGTGCCCACCCAGCACCGCGGGCGCCAGCGGAGCGCTGTGGGACCCCCGAGCAGGGATGAGCTCTCCCCCACGCCGGCCTCACACGCCTGATGGGATTTGGGCACCTGGGGAGAAGGGGGGTGTCAGGGTGTGCATGGGGCACCCCAAGACCCCCCCAGGGGCTCCCAAGGCACCCTTACCTCCATTTTCTGGATCACTTTGCCAAAGGGCCAGAGGAAATACCTGGCCAGGTCCCAGCAGAGCCTGCCTGTGGAGACACAGCCATCAGTGTCCCTTCCACCTACAGGGACATTCCGTGGAGGAGGGAACCAGGAGACTCCAATACCCATCGGTGCAGTTCTGAGCTCATCCAGCCCTCACATGGGGGGTTCCCAAATTTGGAACTCACCATAAGGAGCCCCCATGATGGTGACGAACATCACGGCAGCCACGAGGACGTAGAGGAGCGAGAGCCACCAGCCAAAGAGCAGCAGGTAAAGGACATTCCCACACGTCAGCGTGGACCCTGCAGGAGGGAAGGCACCAGTGGGACCATTGTCACCTGCCCAAATCACACTGGGTTGTCCTCAAGGCCACCCACCTCCAGAGCCTCGGATGACGTTGAGGTCTGAGTAGAGCTCCTTGACAATCTCTGACCGGTCCTCCCACGGCCGCGCCGTCACGTGGCTCTTCCATTTCTTGAATCCAAACTGCAGAGAGAGGAGTTTTTTTTGGGATGAGCGAAGAGGAAGAAAATTAAAACCCATTACAGCCCTCCAGGAGCACCCACGGGTGCCCCCACCCACCTTGTAGTTGTTGGAGAGCTTGTTGGCCTCCACGGCGTTCTCGGCCGTCAGGGTGGTTTTCACCACGCAGCTCTCGCACACCTCCTCCGAGTGCTGCTGGCAGCAGGACGGGGTGGACGTGGCTGTGGGTGACACACAGGGGGCGTCACAGCGGGTGTGGGACCCCCCAGGGCCCCACCCCCGGCCCACCCCACAGCCAGCCTACCTGGGGGGACACGGGGACGGTGCAGGTGGCAGCCCAGGTCCCCCAGGTCCCCCTGCGCGTTGTTGATGGCAGCGCAGTGCCGGTCGTAGAGGGAGCCCCGGCGGGAGCCGTCGCTGTCACCGCGGGAATCCGGGACCTTGGGAGCATCTGCGGGACTGCTGGAGTCACACTGGGGCCACATCCCCACACCCTGCCCGGACTCCAAGTGCTGCTGTGCTGGGCTGTCACCTTGGTCCCCAAAGCCCGCAGGGGGGACACAGAGCTCCCAGGGCGGTACCCAGGGATGCTCAGGAGGGGGGACCCCACCAGTACCCGGTACACGGCGCGGAAAATCCCGCTCGGTGCCCGGTGTGTGGCTCGGGAGGGGTGTGACCCGGCGGTGCCCGGGGGACCCCCGGCGGTGCCCGGGGACGGGGGACCCCCGGCGGTGCCCACCCCCTTCCCCTGAGCTCACCGGGCGTGTCCTGCGCGCAGCAGCGGCGGCGGCGGCCGGGCTCGCCCTCGGTGGCCATGGCGAGAGCAGCAGGTGCAGGGCCGGTGGTCCCGGCCCGCCGGAATTTAACGGGCGGGGCCGGACATGCGCGCCCCCGGGAGCCGCCCCGTCCCGGCGGGAGGGGCCGGGCCGCCCCCGCCGCGGCCGGGATGCACCTGGCAACGGTGCGGGAACGGGGGAGCGCGGGCATCGGGATGTGCGGGTGTTTTGGGGGGCGCAGGTGAGAGGATGCAGAGATTGGGGTGCGCGGGGTGGAAAGGGGTGCGCAGGGATCGAGATGCGCGGGGAAGGCGGTGCGTGGAATAACGGGGTGCAGGGAGAGCGGGGTGCGTGGAATAACGGGGTGCAGGGAGAGCGGGATGCGCGGTGTAACGGGGTGCAGGGAGAGCGGGGTGCGCGGTGTAACGGGGTGCAGGGAGAGCGGGGTGTGCGGTGTTTTGGTGTGCAGAGAGAGCGGGGTGCGCGGTGTTTTGGGGTGCAGGGAGAGCGGGGTGTGCGGTGTAACGGGGTGCAGGGAGAGCGGGGTGTGCGGTGTAACGGGGTGCAGGGAGAGCGGGGTGTGCGGTGTTTTGGGGTGCAGAGAGAGCGGGGTGCGCGGTGTTTTGGGGTGCAGGGAGAGCGGGGTGCAGAGTGGAGCGCGCAGTGTAACGGGGTACACAGGTGAGAGGGTGCAGATATTGGGGTGCTGGGGAACCAGGGGGCACAGGGATGTGGGGTGCGTGGTATATCGGGGTGCCCGGGAATTGGGGTGCACAGGATATGGGGCATGCACAGGGATCGGAATGAACAAGAACTGGGGTGTGCCGTGTATTGGGGTGCACGGGCCTGCCGGAACAGGGGTCTGCCAGGTATCGGGGTACACGGGGAGCAGGGGGTGCGCAGAGTTGGGGTACACGGGGAGCAGGGGGTGCGCAGAGTTGGGGTACACAAGGATGGGTACATGGGAAGCAGGGTCTGTGGGAGCAGGGGGTGCGCAGAGTTGGGGTACACAAGGAGGGGGTGTGCAGAGTTGGGGGGCAAGGGGAGCAGGGGGTGTGCAGAGTTGGGGTGCACGGGGAGCAGGGGGTGTGCAGAGTTGGGGTGCACGGGGAGCAGGGGGTGTGCAGAGTTGGGGTGCACGGGGAGCAGGGGGTGTGCAGAGTTGGGGTACACAAGGAGGGGGTGTGCAGAGTTGGGGTACACGGGGAGCAGGGGGTGGGCAGAGTTGGGGTACACAAGGATGGGTACATGGGAAGCAGGGTCTGTGGTGCAGAACGTGAGCAGGAACGGGGTGCACAATGAATTTGGGGTGCACAGGGTGTCAGGGGGCACCAGGACTGGGGTCTGTGCTGGGAGTGCAGAGTGCTTTGGGCTGTGCGATGCTGGGGTGCACAGGGAGCAGGGTGGATGGGTTTTAGGGAGCACAGGGACTGACTGGGGTGTGGGATAATGGGGGGGCACACAGAGGGGGGTTTGGGGTGAACTGGGGTGTACAGGGAGCAGACTGCACCCGGTATTGGGGTGCACAAAGACTGGGATGTGTGATCTCTTGGGGGGCACAGTGTATTGGGGTACACAGGGACTGAGGGGTGTGATCTGTTGGGGTGTGTGACACAGTGGGGGGCACAGGGACTGAGTGTGAAGCACAGAGTATTGGGGTACACAGGGACTGGGATCTGTGATCCCTTGGGGTGCACAGGGACTGGGATCTGTGATCCCTTGGGGTACAGGGGGACTGGGATCTGTGATCCCTTGGGGTGCACAGGGACTGGGACCTGTGATCCCTTGGGGTGCACAGGGACTGGGATCTGTGATCCCTTGGGGTACAGGGGGACTGGGATCTGTGATCCCTTGGGGTGCACAGGGACTGGGACCTGTGATCCCTTGGGGTGCACAGGGACTGGGATCTGTGATCCTTTGGGGTGCACAGGGACTGGGACCTGTGATCCCTTGGGGTGCAGAGGGACTGGGATCTGTGATCCCTTGGGACCTGTGATCCATTGGGGTGCAGAAGGATCCATGTGGGGGATGTGGGAAGAGGCTGTGCAGGACACTGGGAGCACAGAGGAATTTGGGTTCTGGGTACCCCAAAAGCGTGCAGGGTCCTGGGGCTGCGGAGCCCAGAGCACCCAAGGGTGCCCCATGGGATGGGCTCCTCCTGAGGATCCCCACTTTTTGGTGAAAAAAAGGATTTCTGCACTTCAAGTGTGGGATTGATGGACATCACAGGGCCGTGCTGCCCTCGAGGGGAGAGTTTTGGGGTAAAACCCCTCTAAAATGGTTCTTGAGCATTCCTCTGTGGTGCACGGATGGATGTGGCCAGGCTGAACACAAGAAAAACCCCAAAACTCTTTGATAAAACAAACTCATTTAATACAAGAACCAAACGAGCCACTTTGTTTCCAGTTCCTTGGGAAAACCCAGGTCCCCCAGGGAAGAGAGACAGAGTCACCAAAACCAATCAGTTCACACCAAAAAACAGCCAAGTTCCAAAAATCCCTCTTTCCCTCCCCTCAGTAAAAAATACAGCACAATGATTCCGTGTGTTTATGCCCTATATACACTTCTAAAATACTCATTTACCAGAATTTACAACAAATTCTGCCCCTGCCCCTTAGAGAGATTTGACAAATATTGATTGATCCTTTCTTTGAAGCAAATCCAAGTGCTTTTACCAAAAAAAAAAATGGACATTCCCAAAAACCTGTGGGTGTGTAGGGCCTGGTTTCCCACCAGGGTGCATAAAGCTCCCAAATCAGAGAAAAAAGCTGAAGGAAAATTAAATTGAAAAGCAAAGGCAGTGAGAGTTGGTGGCAGTGAAGGTTCCTGGGGACCTACATTGTACAAAACAACGAAAATAGAAATTAAAAATAGAAGTAAAATTCTTATTTGCTGAACTCAGCAAGACAAACGTGGTTTTGTCTTTCCTTTTCAGCTGCAGGAACACCTTGAGGGGTCAGAAATCACAATTACACCAATAATCAGGGATAAAAATAATTGGTTTTTATCACGCAGGATAAAATGAAGCAAAACTGAGTCTGAGCTTCCAGACTTGGAATTTTTTGGATCCTGAAGTTGTCCAAGTTGTTTTATCCCTCCAAGTGCTCAGAGCTGTGCACAGCCTTGGGGAGGCTGCAGCTGCCCCTTCAAAGGAGGCTTGGTTTGGTTTAGTCTGAGATCAGGGAAGCTCAGTCTGACAGGGCTGCTGGAGGTGAGGAGCAGGAAGGAGAACTCCTGCCTGGAATTCTTTCACAGGAGCATTCCCACAGTGAAATACTCCATGTAATGCCTCGACAAAATCCACAGGGCAAGTGCAGGCACTTCCTCCCTCTGTGCACAAAGCTGAGCTTTAATTCTCCTGGTGTTTGAGTCACAGTTCCATTATTCCCCAAAGATCCACAGGACGTTGACTCCTGATAAACCCAGATTTACACGCCTAAATGAAGCAAAACTCAGTCTGAGCTTCCAGACTTGGAATTTTTTGGATCCTGAAGTTGTCCAAGTTGCTTTATCCCTCCAAGTGCTCAGAGCTGTGCACAGCCTTGGGGAGGCTGCAGCTGCCCCTTCAAAGGAGGCTTGGTTTGGTTTAGTCTGAGATCAGGGAAGCTCAGTCTGACAGGGCTGCTGGAGGTGAGGAGCAGGAAGGAGAACTCCTGCCTGGAATTCTTTCACAGGAGCATTCCCACAGTGAAATACTCCATGTAAAGCCTCGACAAAATCCACAGGGCAGGTGCAGGCACTTCCTCCGTCTTGCACAAAGCTGAGCTTTAATTCTCCTGGTGTTTGAGTCACAGTTCCATTATTCCCCAAAGATCCACAGGACGTTGACTCCTGATAAACCCAGATTTACACGCCTGCAAACCCAAAGGGATCACAATTAGCCATTTCCATTTAAAAGCTGCTGTTAATTCCATTTTAGCACCATTAATTATCACCCCCCCGGGGTGGTTTTGGTCTGACACCATTCCCATCTTGCTCCCTGGGATACCTACCCCAACATCCCAGACTCCTTTGTCTTGATGATGTACAGGAACATCAGCAAGGTGTGGAACATGTTGTTCCTGCCCTGGAGCCACAGAGAGAGACAAGGATTTAGAAATCAAAACAATTAAAAATCTCAGGATTTTCCTAATTTGGAACTTCCCTTTGGAATTTGCACTGGCCTCAAGGGGTGACATCAGTGACATCACCCACCAGGGACTGGGATTTGGGGTTTCACAATAAACAGACACCTCAGGCAGTATCAGCAGCAGAGCAAGCACCACGTGCTGGGCAAAGACCAAGCTGGCCCAGCCTCGGTGTAAACGGACAAAAACGTGTGCAGGATTTAACAAGACCCCAAAGGAGCCCTGGAAATGATTGCTGGGAGCAGGAGCAGAACAAAGCCCTGTACCTTGGGCAGGCTGTACACGTGGCACTCGTAGATCAGCTCGTAGTGGGGTGGGTTGATGCTGCTCTGGTAGATGCAGAACACGTTTTCGTTTGAAGTGTCTGAATTAAAAATTAATTAATAAAAAAACAAACAGGTTTCAGAGGTGCTGCTGTGATCCCAGAGGAAAAGAGCAGCTCCAGGCCAGCCCAGTACCTGGTTTATCTGGAGTCTGGATGAAGTGCTGGGAAGTGAAGGTTTTGCCATCAGGATACTTGGGGTGAGGAGGGAGCCTGGAGTCCAGGTAAGTGCAGAACACGTGCATCAGGATCTGGGCAAACACAACCAAATCTCACTGCAAGGGCCCCAAAAGCCAGCAGCTCCCTCCCTTAATCCCAGCAGCTCATCCCAGCCTTTGATAAGCTCTAGTTACAATGCTGGTTTAACCCCAGCCTTAGGAGCAGCTTCATGCCCAAATCACCAATTTCAGATTTGGCTGAGAACGGCAGAGGAGATCAAAAACCAGCTCTGCCCACCCCAAACCCAGCAAGGAAACTTCTCCCTTTGCCTCCTGAAAGTCACTGCAAAGCCTGGGCTGGCCACGAGCCTTAAGAATGACAAAATTGTGACATAAAGTCCTGAAAACCAGGGGCTTTCAACCCCTTCTGCAGAGTTCTCAATATTTGATGTGGGTAACATCAGCAAGTTATCTGAGATCTGGTGCTTTCTGTGTTCCTTGTACCCAGCAGGAGCTGTTTGGGAGGGAGAACAGAGGATTTGCTAAAAACAATGCCACAAATCTTAAAAAATCCGGGATATGCACCTTGGACCTCAGAGCATTGTATCACCCACGATTAAGAAAAATGTGAAATGTCTTTTTTTTTTTGCTAATAGCCTTAAATTAATGTCAAAACTTCTTCATTTTTCACTTTTCCTGTTTATCAGGACACTCACAGCTGCTCCACAGCTGGACAATTCCAAATATTTAACCGCGTTCCCAACCAGAAAATCAAATCCTATTTCAATGTTGATTTCCCACTTCCAGCAACGGAATGTCTTTAATTATCCAGCAGCAAAGCCGTGCTTTTCTGATTTTCCCGTGCTCCTCAAAGGCTGCCCGGCTGCTCCCTCCACACCCTATCCCAAAACCCAAGCACCCCCGGGGTCCAGGCGTGCCTGGAAGCTCACCGAGGAGTCGGTGGGAAGGTCCGTGTCCCACTTCCGGCCCTTGAAATCCCCTCCTCCGTTCCAGCGGAAGGAGCTCATGCATCCCCCCTGGGAGAGCTCTGCAATTGCAGCAGTTACTCACTTCACTGGGATAACAGCAGCTGGAAGTGTGGCTCAGCAAAGGGGGGTTTTGGTGGAGAAAATTGATCAAAGGGGTGAAGTTACAGCATGATTCAAGTGATTCAATCCCTCTGCACCCTGAGCAGGCAGGAGGAAATCACGGAATGGTTTGGATTGGAGGGAAACTGAAGGATCATGCAGTGCCACCCCCTGCCCCGGGCAGGGACACCTCCCACCGTGCCAGGGTGCTCCAAGCCCTGTCCAGCCTGGCCTTGGACACTCCAGGCATGCAGGGACAGAGCCAACAGTATGGAAACATCTGGAAACAGCACAAACCGTGCCAGGGTGCTCCAAGCCCTGTCCAGCCTGGCCTTGGACACTCCAGGCATGCAGGGACAGAGCCAACAGTATGGGGGCACTGCAGGGATCCAGGGACAGCTGCTCTTGGATACAGAGCCAATAGTATGGAAACATCTGGAAACAGCACAAACCATGCCAGGGTGCTCCAAGCCCTGTCCAGCCTGGCCTTGGACACTCCAGGTATGCAGGGACAGAGCCAACAGTATGGAAACATCTGGAAACAGCACAAACCTCTGATCCTTTCCACCAAGTATTCCTGGTTCGGGGTGAGATCCAAGTACTGCACCAGAGCGTTGAGAGTGGGGATGAGCGGGGCTTTCACCAGGGCTGCCTGCTTGAGGCTGCTGATGCTGGCCTCTGCAACAGAGAGCCGGCCTCAGCGGGGCCGCGCTGCAAACACCCACACCCCACAGAGAGGCACAAAGCTCCTGCACAGCAGCTACAAGGAAGCAGCAGGAATTGAAAGAGCGGTGGGGGAGAAGCAAAGTGAAAACAAAAGCAGCGTCTGTGGTTTTTAAGCACTTTGCAACAGTAGATTTGGAGGAAACGCTCTAAGAACAATCCAAAAAAGGCAGTTAATTAAAAAGCAGCACGTCAAATCCACTGCTTTGTTAATTTGAAACAACAGGAGGAGCAGCTGCTACAGAATCCTAACCTGAAAATGAAAAGCAGAACCCCAGCTCATCAGAATTTTAAAAAAATTTACAGAATTTAAAAAACCCTGCTCTTTCAGGAGGTGGGTGAATTGAAGGAAGAACTTGGAAAAGCACATAGCAGTGGAGACAGTGAGACTTTTGGGACACACAAATTTTGAGAATTTACAGCACATCTGTCTTTGGAATGCTTTCTGCCTGATTAATAATCAATTATTATAGATCATTTGAGCTGTAAAATTAAATTTATGGGAGGAAAAAAGAAGCATTTAAGAATTGTACCCAAGTGTCCAAGCACTGATATTTATAAAGCATTACAGAAAACCTTCCCAGCTTAAAGAAATGCAGGAAGTGGAACAAAGGACCAAAAGAGAGCAGAAATGGAACAAAACCATTGCCCAGACCTCATTTATGTACCACCCATTCCAAGGGAATTGCCAGGCTGACCCTACCTCCAATCTGCAGCTCTGGGCAGCCCATCCTCCTCAGCTGAGTGCTCACAGACTCCATCTCCTCCACCAGCGGCACCAGAATGGTGTCATTGATCCACTGGGAGGGAAAAGGGGAAAATCCAAGCTCGGAAGCAACAGGAATGTTTAATAAACCCCTCAGCTGACAGCCTACAGTCACCCCACCACAACCACAAAGCAGTTCAACAGGAACACTGAAGCCAGTCAGGGAGGGAAATAATTTCATTGAATTATCAGCCCAGGCAGAATTTAAGCGAGCCTTTAACAGCTTCTGAAAAGGCAGAAAATTCAATGTATAGGAGTTGGGAAAAGCCATCTGTATCAGGTACAGCTTTTCTGGACCCTGAGGAAAGGGGGTTACGGATCACAGCCCTCCAAGCACGAGGTGAAGGATCCAGTCCCTCTCCTGTCTGGTTCAGGATAGCAGGGAGATGAAAATTTGTGGGATTTGTGTGTGACAGAACACCCCAACCCTCAGACAGGCACTGCAACCCTCCCCATCTCAGGCACAGAGGACATGGAGGAATTTTCCCACTTGGAACTCCTCAGGGAGGGACTTACATTCCTGAATTTTGCTGTCCAGGAATCCATGTGGTCCAGGAGCTGCCGGTTCATTGTCACCCGTGCCCAAACCTATGGAAAGGTTTATGAAATCCACGTGAGAACCCCAGAGTTTGCAGGGTCTGTGACAGTCCCTGCTGCTTGCAAAAGAAAGGAGCTGGCTGAATGCTGCAGGACTTTATTCCCCAGCATTCCTGACCCAGCTCAAATCCAAACCTTTGCACAAAGGTGCATTTTAAAATCCCAGCTCTCCCTCTTTACCTTTTTTTTTTTGGTGGAATTTACCTCTTCTGCAGCCTGCTTGGAGGTCAGATCAGCTTCATCCTTGTGTGCAGAGGGAGCCTGGGACCTGCAGGCCAGCTGATACTGGAACTTCCTCAGGATCTGTGCGTGGTCTGCCATGGAGCGGCTGTAGTTCCAAAACGTTGGGCTGCTGGAGGGAGAGCTGGAATCTGAGCTTCCTGGAAAGATTAATTCATTAAGAAGTTCAATTATTGCCAAGTGATGCTGGAGAAACAGCACGGGGAGAACAGGTCACTGAGGCCACCCTGGATTGTCCCAACCCAGGAGAAAAATGTCCTGGATTCAGCCCCTTATCTGAAAGGTCTTGGACAAAATCCCCCTCTTATCAAGGTGATCTTATCTCAGTCCATTACAGCCACCAACTGCCACAGAGATAACCCAGCAGCATTCCCATGCTGCAATCCTGCTCCAAGGAATAACTGGAGGAAAACTGCCTGAAGGGGAAACAGTGGGGTTGTACCTCACACCCCAGCTGCTCCCCAGGAGCAGGTCCTTTGCCAAGCTCACAGCTGACCCATAAATTAATGGTACCTTTTTACTGGCACTCCTCCCGTCACACTGGGTAAAACCAACACCTCCTCCCTGCCAAGCTTTTCCCAGCAAACCCCCCAGTTTACCCAGCTGAACTCGGTGCTGTTTCTCCTCCTCGTTCCTCAGGAAGGTGTCCAGGGATTTGACATCTGTGATACAGTCATCTTTGTAGGTGGAATTATTGTACAGGATGGGGGAGAATCGGTAGTGAGACCTGATCCCCCCGCTGTCCCCAGCCCCCACGCTCATGGAATAGGGAGATCCGTTGGGAGAGTGGCTGAAGCTGGAAACCTCGAGAGAAAACAAAACAAAACACAACAATTGATTTCTTTTCGCCGCCAAGGCTCAAGCTGCGGCATCGGGAGCGCGGCGGTGCTTACCTTGGCGTAGCTGCTGCCGGGTGAGTAGGTGACAGAGGTGCTGTGGGAAGGGCTGCTCCCTGCCAGAGCCTGGAGCTGGGGGCTGTAGCCGCTCAGGCAGCCCCCGGGGAACTTGGGGCTGGCGCTGGGCGAGCGCGAGGGGCTGTAGCTGAGCACACACTGGCCCTGGACGGGCGGGGACGGCGTCAGGGACAGCGCTCGCTTGGCCGCCGGCTCCCGAGGGGGCGTCACCGGTACGGCTGCAAGGGAACGAGCAGCAGCGTCACCCAGACTGCCCCTCTGAACTTAAACCATGCTTAAGGCCACTTTAGGGACATCTGTGATACAGTCATCTTTGTAGGTGGAATTATTGTACAGGATGGGGGAGAATCGGTAGTGAGACCTGATCCCCCCGCTGTCCCCAGCCCCCACGCTCATGGAATAGGGAGATCCGTTGGGAGAGTGGCTGAAGCTGGAAACCTCGAGAGAAAACAAAACAAAACACAACAATTGATTTCTTTTCGCCGCCAAGGCTCAAGCTGCGGCATCGGGAGCGCGGCGGTGCTTACCTTGGCGTAGCTGCTGCCGGGTGAGTAGGTGACAGAGGTGCTGTGGGAAGGGCTGGTCCCTGCCAGAGCCTGGAGCTGGGGGCTGTAGCCGCTCAGGCAGCCCCCGGGGAACTTGGGGCTGGCGCTGGGCGAGCGCGAGGGGCTGTAGCTGAGCACACACTGGCCCTGGACGGGCGGGGACGGCGTCAGGGACAGCGCTCGCTTGGCCGCCGGCTCCCGAGGGGGCGTCACCGGTACGGCTGCAAGGAACGAGCAGCAGCGTCACCCAGACTGCCCCTCTGAATTTAAACCATGCTTAAGGTGACTTTAGGGATGTTAAATGCCATTTTAGAGATGTTAAAAGGCCATTTTAGAGACGTTAAAAGGCCATTTTAGAGATTTAAAAGGCCATTTCAGAGATGTTAAAAAGGGACGCTGAAAAGCTGGTCCCTACAGAGCTCAGATAAGCTGTGAGCCCAGCTCGGGGTAAATCCTGCTGGGGGCTTCTCCAATATCCCAGCAGCTCCTCCACGTGCCCACTGCTCTCTCCTCTGTACCGCACTAATTAACGTCTCAGTTATCTAACACGCAATTAGTTCCACCTCAAATGGCCACATTGAGGACATTGCCAGCTCCTGGCCCTGCACAGGACAACCCCAACCACCCAGCTCAGCTTCCTGTCAGGAGACAATTCAAATAAAGCACAAGTGGAGAAACAACACTAAAACCAGGGAAAAGAATAAAAGAGGGTTTATTCCCCACCTGCCTTGTGCAGCCAGCCCACGATCTGCTGGCTGGGGCTCGTCACCAAGCTGCCTGGTGCTGCTGGGTAGGTGAAGTACCTCCAGAAATCAAACAGGGCGTTGAGGCTGAACAGGGCTGCCAGGGCAAATTCTGCAAGAAACACACGAGTTTTTGTCGTGGTTTGGGCAAAAATTACATTTGTAAAACAAGCAGGCTATGTCTATTTAAAAAAGGTCATTATTAGTGCTGCCAGTTTGGGGAAGTATCCAAGATTTCTTCACTTTCTTAGGCAAGAACCATTGGAGATAATTTTCCTCAGTGTTGAAATTAATTTATACGTTTTAAAATTTAATTTTTAAAACGGGATTGTTATTTTCCAAAAAGGAAATCTCATGACTCTTGCTTCTTTCCATCCTGTTGTCTGACAGAGCTTAGAGTCTCCTCCTCTGAAATCAACTTGAATTGTTGTAAAATATCACCCACACCCAGAGCACAACACAGCAGGAAAATAACCCAAGGCTCTCTAGAGCCTTAACCCATTAAGGAAGATTTCACACATTAACTAAGTCCCTCCTGCCCATTCCCCACAGAGAGGAGGCTGTTAACACTCCTTATCTGCCCCTAAAACGATGGAACTCCAGCAGCTTCAAGGGAGATCACAGAAAGCAAAACAAAGTTTTGGTTTAAAACACAAACAGAAAAAATAACCTGCCCTAAAAACGACCTCCCAGCAATAAAAATGAGTAAAGAACGTTCCTGAAATTTGATTTAAACGCTGCAACGACTCACCAATGTACCAGAGTGGAAAGCAGGTGATGTTGTAATATGTACTTAGGAGTTTCCCAGTCCTGAAAAACAAAACAAGGGAGAATTTAGCAGCAATTCCATCCTGGGGGATATTTAGGGTGGAATCTTTGCTTACAGATGGAACCATTAGCTTACATCTCAGTGTAGATCATGCCTGCTACAGATATATTGAGGAGCCCCCAGGCCAGCACCACCTTCCTGGTCTCAGCCTGTTTCCTCATCTTCACAGCCAGGTCGATGAGGGAAGTGTCTGGGCTCTTATTTGGTGTCATTGTCTGTGAGAACGCGGGGAAAAGGCAAAATCTGTCAATTCTTACTCGGCAGGAAGGTTCTCAGGCAGGTTACTGAGGAACAGTGTTCATCCTCTCTCTCATTTTTGAATAATAATGTCATTCAAAAGGAGGAGGGAAAGCTCCTGCCTCCTCCAGGCAAGAGCAGTGTTTTTTAGCAAAAATTCTCACTTATTTCAGTAGGTAACAGAGAATTTTCTGTCACATTAAAGAGATTTTATTTCCTCCTTTATGCTAGTAACACCTTATATGAAGGAGATAACTCTGTCCCCGGCAGGCAGCCCTCACATCTCCCCCATCTTCCCCAAATTTCTCCTCTCCCCCTCCTCAAAGTTCACCTTTCCCCCATCCAAAGCCCTCCTCTCCCTCACCACATACCTCTTCGATCATCCTGCTCCTCAAACATCTCTGATCCCCCTCCCCAAATTTAAACTCCCCCGCTTCTCAAACTTCCCTTCTTTCCCCGCCCCAAAGCTCTGCTCCTCCCACTCCCCAAAGCTCTCTGATCCCCCTCCTCACATTTCACCTCTGCAGACCTCACTGTCCCCCTCTCCAAACCTCCCCTCTCCTCCTCCTCACACCTCTCTGATCCCCCTCCCCAAACCTCACTGATTCCCCTCCAGAAACCTCTCAGATCGCCCTCCCCAAATCCCTCTGATCCCCCCTCCCCAAATTTCACTGCTCCCCCTCCTCACGCTCTCTGATCCCCCTCCTCACATTTCACCTCTGCAGACCTCACTGTCCCCCTCTCCAAACCTCCCCTCTCCTCCTCCTCACACCTCTCTGATCCCCCTCCCCAAACCTCACTGATTCCCCTCCAGAAACCTCTCAGATCGCCCTCCCCAAATCCCTCTGATCCCCCTCCCCAAATTTCACCGCTCCCCCTCCCCAAACCTCACTGATCCCCCTCCTCACACCTCTCCGATCCCCCTCCCCGAGCCTCCCTTCTCCCCTCCCAACCGCCCTCCCCAAATTTCACTGCTCCCCCTCCCCAGACCTCCCGGTCCTCCTCCCGAAGCTCGGCTGTGCCCCCTGCGCAGGTTTCCCCTCACCTCTCCGCAGATGGGTCCCGTTTTCCCCTCAGCCCGGGCGGTTTTTTTCCCCTTTTCCCGCCGGGGCTCCGCTCCCCTCACGCCGCCGCGGCCTCGCGCTCTCTGCGCCTGCGCGGGCGCTCGCGCCGCGTCACCGGCCGCGCCGGGGGAGGGGCGAAGGGGGCGGGCGCTCGTGCGCGGGTTTTGGCGGGAAGGGCGTGAGGGGGCCGCCATGTTGGGGGGGGCGAAGGAGCCCTCACGGGGACAATTTCGTTCTGTTTTGTTTTTTTTTTTTTGTCTTTATAGCTAAATTGTTTAATTACACATTACCATGCTTGTCAGAGCAATATGTTGCCACAGCAGGTAAAATTTTAAGGTCTATTTGCGTGCTGTGCAAGTGTAGTTTCATATTTCTGTGTAACTTCATATTTCCATGTAAGCACAATTTCATATTTCTGTGTAGGTGTAACTTCGTATTTCTGTACAAGCACAATTTCATATTTCTGCACAATTGTCACCAAAACCGTGGGGAAAAACAAGACTCCTGACACTCTTTTTAAAAATGTCACCATATTTATTCTTGGCCAAGGTTTGTGTGTGTGGCTGACAAAGTTTGGGCCTCCACATGAGCCACTATACACACCTTTTTCACTTTTTTGTGAATTTTAACAAACAAATTCATGTTCATTCATTCTAAATTGCATGATCCTCTTCATTAATTACTATTGTAAAAAATGTTCCCTATTCATTTCCTCACTTTTTATACTGATCTGGTCCATGCTATTTAGTAATTTTGTTATCTTTTTCCAGACATGGAGTCTCCAACCTTTCAGGCTTTAATTTCCTCTGATTTTTCTGGTTACTCCAATATCCTTTAATTGCCATAAATTTAAGTTCCCACATGCCCCACCTTCAAATTCTTTGGGTCTGCTCATTGAAGATTGTCAGGATTTATTTTAACAAACTTAATCAATGATTTAATGATCAAAGTAATAATAAAGGTCTGTGGAGAAGCTTTACTAGTGCTGGTTAAAAGTGGGCGCTGCCCATAAATCATTAAAATGACCACTTAAATATTAATTAGGAAAGTTATATCGTTTCCAATACATGCATGACTTCAAATTTTTGTCCAGGTGTAACTTCATATTTCTGCAAATGGAAAGGAATCCTCCAAATTTAAAGGTCTTGGTTTCCTAATTTAAGGAAAACTGAGTTGAAAATACATGGCTCCATTGCATCCAGGATTGTTACACTGACATAAAGCCTAAAGATTTTCCAGAAACATCAAAAATATGGGTTCTGCTTCTAAAATGAATTCCAAGTGTACAAGTGGTGAAGCACATACTGAAATCCCTACTCATTCCTTATCCAGGGCATTTCCAGGGGGATTAGGGACATGGAGGCAATCCATCATTCACAGAAATAATAATTCCCCCGGCAGTAATCCAAAATAAATTGGCGTTATGGCAAATTAATTCTGATTATTAGGAGATTATTAACTCTGATTATCCAGGAGATGAGCTGCCAGTGGAGTCCTTTGCCATGCCAGTGAAATGTTTCTGTCCAAATGTGAAAAGTTTCTGGGATTTTTTTCCTAAAAATGACAAGAGAGGCTACAACAGTGGATATTAGTTTGCATCATTTGGAGCAGCAACAACAAAGGTCTGGATTTTACAAAAATGGACTGACCCTACTGAAATTTAATGATTCTTGAGGCTTTTCTAGTTGCTGTTTTTGGGGACATGTATCCATTCTGGCCTCTCTCAGTGAAAATGTGCACCAATACAGGGATTTTCGGCGAGGAGAGGGTTTGGCTGGCTGAGGCTGATTTACCCTTTGGCTCGCCCAGGTGTCACCAGGGTGTTCCCGAGTCACCGGTGACTCCAGAGGCTCTGCGGGGACAGAGCCCTGCCCGCCCTCACCCACACACACCACAGCTGCGCTCAGGCTGAGCCCAACTGGGCTGGGCTGGGCTCAGCGGGGACTGGGACCCGTGCTTGGTGACACCCTGGCTCTGGAGCTGCCCTGCGAGCTGTCTGGGGACCTGGCCAGTGCCACCCGCCCTGCTCCTGCTGGCTGCATCCCCTGGGGCTCCGCTGCTTCTGGTGAGGCCCCTTCTCCAGCTGCCTCCCTGGGCCACCTTTGCCTTCCTGTGTCACCTTTGCCTTCCTGGGCCACCTTTGCCTCCCTGTGTCACCTTTGCCTCCCTGGGCCACCTTTGCCTCCCTGGGCCACCTTTGCCTTCCTGTGTCACCTTTGCCTTCCTGGGCCACCTTTGCCTCCCTGTGTCACCTTTGCCTCCCTGGGCCACCTTTGCCTCCCTGGGCCACCTTTGCCTCCCTGGGCCCCCTTTGCCTTCCTGGGCCACCTTTGCCTTCCTGTGTCACCTTTGCCTCCCTGGGCCACCTTTGCCTCGCTGGGTCCCCTTTGCCTTCCTGGGTCCCCTTTGCTTTCCTGTGTCACTTTTGCCTTCCTGGGTCCCCTTTGCCTTCCTGGGCCACCTTTGCCTCGCTGGGCCACCTTTGCCTCCCTGCTGCTCCCCTCCTGGACCCTGGGGACAGCACTGTGGGTGTTTTCAGCCTCTAAAATTCCCAGAATGGTTTGGATGGGAAGGGACCTTAAAACCAGCCTGGCTGCAGCTCTTCCACTGTCCCAGTGTCCAGCCTGCCCTTGGGCACTGCAGGGATGCAGGGGCAGCCCCAGCTGCTCTGGCAATTCCAGCCCAGCCAGGAATTCCTCATGGCCAAGATCCCATCCATGGCTGCCCTCTGGCACTGGGAGCCATTCCCTGTGTCCTGTCCATCCCTTGTCCCCAGTCCCTCTGCAGCTCTCCTGGAGCCCCTTCAGGCCCTGGAATGTGCTGGAAGATCTCCCTGGATCCTTCCCTTCTCCAGGAGAACATTTCCAGCTCTCCCACCCTGGCTCCAGCCCTGGAGCAGCTCTGGGTCCTCCTCTGGATTCTCTCCAATTCCAAGGGTGCCCGTGGCTCAGGGCTGATCTCCAGAGCCTTTAGGACCTCGTGGTCATTGCTGGGGGCCCTGCAGCCCCCCCAGGGGATGAGGAGTGAGTCCAAGGTTTGGATTTAGATGCAGCTCCTGAAATGCCGTGGGTGGAGGCCCCAGAGGATGCTGATCAGGGCACTCAGAGCTTGTTTGGATCCTGACATCAGGTTTGGCAGGGTTTCTTGGCAGCCCTTAAATCCACGTGGGATGTAGAATGAGTAATGAAAGAAGCTCTAATTTTGCCCTGGATTAAATCCCTTCTTCCTGTTTTCAAAGAGTGAGCTGTGGCAGGTCGTGTGGACAGTCAGCTGATTCCCTAGGAAATATTGGAGTCTGGAAGCTGCAGGTGGGGTTTGACTCCCACCAGAGTTCCTGCTGTAGTTCCAGAAGCAGGAAATTCCTGTGCTGGTTCCTGTCTTTGGGATCAATTTTTATTATTTGGTTTAAGTTGACACGGTGGAGATCTTTTTCCCCAGGGGCTGGGTTTGGTTAAACCTTAGAGACCAGAGCAGTTCTCCTGTGCCCCCCAGACACAGCAGTTACAAGATGACTCAATCCTGCAGGCCAGAACAGGACTCATCCCTGCCTGGGGCTCCCTTTGTTCCCAAAAACAGGAGACAAAGCACTTGCTTGGGACTGAGAACACAACAGGACACCTGAGGAGGAGTGGGGTGGGAGTGGAGGTGAGAGGAGACTCCTCAGGGAGGTGCTGACAAATGCTGAGTGATAATTGAGATATTTATTTAAAGTTTCCTCTGGGAGTTCCTTTCCTCTTCTCCTGAGGTGGACTGAGCAGCTGAACATCTGCCCCCTGTGCTCTCCAGGAACTCCAGGTGTGACAGCAGGGTCCTGGCTGTTCTCAGAAACCCTTGGATTTGGATAAACAAAGTTTATCCAAACTCCATGGGACAGCCACAGCTGGGTGTTCCCACGGGAGATTATTCCCAAAGCTCAGGCAGGAGGCTGCCTCCCACCTGGATAACAGCTCCTCAAATATCCTTTGGAACCAGGAATGGACAACTCAAAATCCCAACCAAAAGTGGAGCTCCTGACCCCCAGTAGAGCTGGGGTGAGTTCAGTGTGTCCCTGTTTTCCTCTGCCCTGAAGAACACGAAAGAACACTCGCATTTTTGTGGTCGGAGCTTTGGGACTGACTCCTCCCTCCCTGGTTTGGATGTGTCAGTGGAAAATATTTTTTTGGAGGTGAAATGAGCTTGCTGGTTGCCTTGAAATCTCTGATAAACGTGAGAACTTGATCACATGGAGTGATAGGTTCTATCAGATGTGTTTGATCTCAAAAATAAAGCTCTGTATAAATTCCCTTTTGCCAGCCCAGCTGAACTGGCAGCAAACATGAAGCTGATTTTGATCTTCAGTGCCCTCCTCGGGGCTTCCCTGTGCCTGGAAACCTTCGTTGGGTGAGTTACACTTGTGCAAAACCTTTCATTTATGGCTGGTATCCTCCGGTTGTTTTTCATGGTCTCAACCTCACAAAATCTGCTCGGGGCACATTTTTTTGGTATTTGTGGTTGATTGTTCGTGTTGCTTTGCTGTTGTGGTGTTTGAGGGAACCTTTCTTTGCTTTTGTTTGGGTTTTCTAAGGAGATTCTCAATTCCTGTTCATCCAAGACTTGATTTTGGCTTGAGTTGAGCCTCTCTGTAAAAGCAGAGCTGAAAGACCAGAACCTGTCCTCAGAGCAGAAAGTTCACCACTTTCCCTTTTTGCCCCAAGTTTCTTATTTCTCTTTTTTCCTCTTCTTTTCTCCTTTCTAAGCATTTAAAATCCTGATTTCCAACCATTAAATTCTGAAGGTTTGTCTTGATGTTGCATTGCAAAAATTATCCCACAAGGTATTTCCTCACAGCCTCATTGACCATGGAAGGGCCTTAACGATTAAAGATTATGAAATCCTACTGGATAATTCCCGAGTTGCAGGAAGTGAGCACTAGATTCCAGTGAGTAAATCTGTGCATGAAAGTTTAAGGATTAAGAATTAAAAATACTATAAATAATGTCCCAAAACTCGGGGATGTGTAAAGCCAGGAGGGGCTACATTGATCATTTAATCCTGAACTGAGTTTTGGTGGTTCAAAACCTCAGCAGCTGTGGTTAATTCAT